TACCTATTTCCAGTTTTTCATAATTAAAATCGCTTCTGTTAAGACGTAATATTTGAAAATCGCCATGATAAAAATTTTATACACTATCAAAGTGAACGTTATTGACCGTGTACACGATGAATAGGCAAAAATTAAAGAAAAAATTGTTTATATTTCGTGTGTAGTATTTCTATAACAGTCAATTAGAATATTAAAAAAAAACACAGAAAAAACAGAAAAAAACAGGAAAAAAACAGGAAAAAAACAGAACTAAACAGAAAAAAAATAAAAAGAAGAAAAAAAGGAAGAAGAAAAGAAAGAAAAAGAAGAAAAAAAAAAAAAAAAAGAAAAAAAAAAAAGAAAAAAAGAAAAAAAGAAAAAAAGAAAGAAAGAAAAAAAGAAAAAAAGAAAAAAAGAAGGAAAAAGAAGGAAAAAGAAGGAAAAGAAAAACAAAAGAAAAACAAAAGAAAAACAAAAGAAAAACAAAAGAAAAACAAAAGAAAAACAAACGAAAAAAACAGAAAGAAAACTGATAGTTCGAGACTAAATTAATTGTTTGTTTAACATACTATTTAAGCATATTTGCTAGATATTACCATTTAAAAATGTTACCGATATCGATATAGTTATAAAAAATTTAATTTTTATAATCATCATAATATAAAAATGTTGCTTGATATCCGTTGATTTCTAATGTTTATCAAAGGTACCAAATTTTATCGATTACATTTTTGGTTTCCACGAAAACGTTCTTTAAAAACTGCGAAAACAAATCGATTTTTATCTAAAATCGGTTTGTTTGAGTGGTTTTGCCTGAAATAAAGTCGTTTGAGTATGTAAACTCAAAATTTAATAGAGCAAATTTGAAAGGACGAACGGAATTTGAGAAGATTATGTTTTGAATCATTTTGTATGAAAAACATATATCGAGTAGGTAATAATCTAAAAGTGGACCTCCAATATTAGGCGAGAAGATGGAAAATTAGATCTTTTAATACCAGATTCTAGGAAAATTGTGGAAGAAAGGATTGAAAAGCAAAAGGAATATTACGGGGACATTTCACAGACTTCTGATGTTGGGAAAAAAGTTTATTTAAAGGATTTTAGAGATCCACACCGTCCAGCTTGGACTGAAGGGGAGGTAACCGGCAGAGAAGGTTCGGTAATTTTTGAGGTCAAAACGAGTGACGGGAAAGATTATCGGCGTCTCTCTCTGCTAAAACAGTCGATAATAAACTGTCTACCGATAGTACCGATGTAGAAAATATTGCGGATACAAACAGTTTTGATTCTTCAGCATGTATGAATAAAAAGTCTGAAGAAAATATCAACAATCCTGAGAGTTCTGAAGCAGGATCGTCTAGGTATTTTCTAAGACCTAGATAATATTGTTATAGTATTAAAATGTTTACATAGTAGTTTGAAGTTGTTCTTTAATTTGTTTTCTTTTCTTTCCCATTTTGTATAAAGCTAAATTTAGTGGGTGAAAAGTGTTAAGTGCGGTAACGAAGTTTTTTTTTTTCAGCCTAATACAGATTTTAGTGAAATATCTTTTATGTTTGTAGGTATGTTTCATTTTTAGGGTAAGAATGTGTAATGTATTTAATAAATTGTATTATTATATATGGACATCACCCTATACAATTGATTTCTATTCTGGTATCTTGTACTGTTTTTTACTGTATGGCGATAACGCCGGCTTCAATGTGGAATCACCGAATAAAGGCACTTTCAATTCAGAATTCAATTGAGTTTTATTATAAATTGGAATTAAGGGAAAAATAATAATATAATTGTAGTTCTTAAGGAAATTAGGGATATTACACATTCTATTTTGTTTATTTAATAATATAATTTCCCTTAATATTCTTTAAAAAATGGATATGGCAAAGACACATTACATCAACAGATGTAAGAGCTAATCCTGCGCATAACCGCTGTGTCATAAAGTTGATTATTTGACATATTCCAAATTTTAAAATTATTGTGATTTCTGTGTCTGTTTACGAGCGGTATTTGAGAAGATTATTTTTGAATCATTTTGTATGAAAAACATATATTTTAAAGAACTAGGGATTTCTAACTTCAACACCCTGTATCTCAAAATCTAGTCATAGGATACGATTGGACCCATGGACACTTTTGATGGGGACATCAAGTAATTTAACACATCAAAAATTCAGACATTTTGACGGTACTCCCGTTTGCATAAGAAAAGTGCGTGGTCCTTTAATTAAAATTTACATTATACATATTTATAAATGCAAAAAATAATAAGGTACAATAATTTTTAAATCATCGTATTTCGTTCTCTACTGATATAGACCGTCAGATAGTGACAGGTTAAGGTGCCCCATTTTCGCATGCAAGCCTCGAAGAAGGTTGAAAAGTACATCGATTTTAAGTAGAATGAAAGTAAATTTACGAGTGGCTCCTGGAGATAACACATGAAAAATTCGATTTTCCCCATCAGTAATGAAAGGTTAATTGTTGCCCATTTTTCCATGCAAGCCGTTTTCACTATATGATTAACGCAAGGCATTAATGTTGCACGTGGCTAAAGGGTTGAAATAAGGGCGTAATCTTCTAAGAAAAAAATCGAGATTTTACCAGATTTTTCCACACAAGCCCATCGAATGTATGAAAACGTACATCGTCACTAGTGCGAAAAATATATTTTCTTGAATGACCTGAATGTATAAGTGCATTTTGGGGTTGGAAAATTTTTCTGATAAGGAAAATCGAATTTTTCATGTGTTATCCCCAAGAGCCACTTGTAAATTTTCTTTTATTCTACTTAACATCGATGTACTTTTCAACCCTCTTCGAGGCTTGTATGTGAAAATGGGTCACCTAAATCGGTATCTGCCGGGCTAATAGATAGAAATATACGGATGCTTATCAGACTCCCTAAAAAATTCAAATTAAGATTTCCCGTTCGTTGTCGATCAGCTGATTTCGCCCGAAGAAAGCACTACATAATCTTAATATTCGCAATAAAATGGTGTTTCATATGGTGATTATTCATAGTGTATGGAAAATGAGTTCTTTATTTTTTTTATTCTGTGACATCGGCATCAACTGCTATGGTTATTCATAGTATTAGTCTCATGTTCTGTATAGGCTTTGTTGCATTAGCAATAATATCCCTGCCATCGGCGGTTAACCTTGAATCCGAAAGTCCTGACTCTAACCACTGAGCCACCCTCCCCGTGTTTTCTTTGTTGTTTGATTCTTTGTGTGTGTTGTTTACGTCATTTTATTATGAATATTGGATTAAGTTAGAAATATTTAGAAGCGACCCCAGCTTTCAGAAATGTCCATGAAAGTAAATAATTATTAAATGATGGTAATATTATTAGGGAGCACAATAGATTTTTTAGGTCGCAGTGTATTAACATCCCATTCCCAACATAACATACATATTAATATGGAATCATTGAGCATATTTATTCGAAAAATTAGTTTTTATTTTATAAAAACAAATTCCCACAGGTTGGTGTCCACAAGTTGCACAACACATTTTTTAATGGACTGAAAGGAAATCTTTAAAATCGATTATTGGATTAATAGGTCATTAGGTTATTTTAATTAATCGATTAATCGTAAATATTAATCTTTGAATAGTCGAAAATAATCGATTAATCAAAAAATAATCGATTAATCGATCAATCAAAAAAATCTATTAATCGAAAATAATCGATCAATCGAAAATAATTGATAAAACGAAAATAATCGATTAATTGAAAATAATCGATTAATCGAATATCGATTTTTCTAAAAAAAGAATCTATTATTTTATGTAATATATATTATTAAAGGAAACATTTTCAGAACAACAAAGCTCTATATGTTACAACTTGTACTGGCCGAGGCTAAAGTGATCCTTAGTAATATGGATTTTAAGGCAGATTGCATTAAGGATCGCACTATATTTTGTTACTTAAAACATTATTTTATGCTCATTCATTTTCCGAATCTACGCTACGAGTTCTATAAGATGGCATGCAAATCAGATAGTATATATTATATATGTCGGATTTCGGATATTTAGGGCGTCACCGTCAGACATTGTTATGACAAAACGCTACATTTAAAACTTGTTAATGCAATATAGAGCAATAAACAAAGTTGACAACACTTTAAACGAAGTTACACAAATAATTATTAAAGAAATACGGATAATAATACGATATCAATTATTAATCAATTAAAGAAATGATACTAGCGATCCGGAGCCGGCGTACCATCGCCCGATCGATCACACTTCTCTAATCTGTTCTCATTCCTTATTTTCTACAAACATCCTCCCGGCTCCGTTCCGCCCCCCTTGCCACTCAATATGAATGGCAAGTGTGTATCATTTTTGCTAAGTCATCACTTATAAAAACCAAGTAGAAGCTTACAACTTATTGAAATACCGATTACCAATAAATCAAACTTCTTAAAACTATAAACAAAACAAAAGTTAAACTTAGGCGCCGCCGACATATATTAGATGTTTAACAGCGATTTTGAGGCAAGATAAATATATTTTTGGAAAAAATGTATAAGACGCCATAATTTTTGACTGTTTTTGTCAGAAATCAGTAGTTTAACCTATCGATTTTTTTTGCGATTTTCTTTAAAAGCCAATAACTACGCATTCTTGAAGTTAGCACATCAAACCCATAGTGAATCGTAATCTATTCAATGAGATTTGCAAAATAGTATATTTACACGATATTGATCGGTTAGAACTAATCGAGATATGGCAATATGAAAATTTCTATTTTTTTCAAAAATGTCCCCCGGTTCACCGGATACGGACGCGATATACATTCTGCGTAATTAGTGCGCCCATGTATAATGTTCGTGCACAGTGAAATCATGGGGGCATTACTAGCATATATATCCAGACATGTCTTTTAAAATTTTACATAGGAAAAGGTTTCCAAGGTCCCCAAATAAAGAAGGATGAATATTTGTGCTATTAGACGTAATATTGGTACATTCATGTAAAAGAAAAAGAAAATACTTACCTCGTTAGTTAGCATTAGGCACGCTAAAATTCCGAGACTCCACCAATCAACTGCATGTCCATAAGGTTCTGTCGCCAAGATTTCCGGTGCTGCGAAATATTATTTGGGTTAATACACCCATCAACTAATATTGACGAAAAATTATTTATGTGCTCAAAAAATTAAAAAAACCAACTGACTTTCTCAAAAGTTACTGAAAATCACTACTTTCTTTCCTTCTTAAAAATCGCATATAATCCCAATTTAAAATAATATGCAGCATGTCCCTAAAAGGTCTGTACAAAACGCTAGCTCAAAAATTTACTTTTAAGTTAGAAACTCAAAAATGAACTTCAAATAAAAAACTCTCAAAAATGAGCTTTAAATGAGTTTCAATCCCAAACGCTCATATTGATCTTCAAGCAGAAATCACTCGAAAATGAGTTTCCAACACGAAGCGATAATTTTCAAGAATTAAAAACTTATTAACCTCAAATTAAAAGGCAGTGAAAAAATGAACTTTGAATACGAATTATTCAAAAATAAGTTTAGACTCCAAACGCTCAAAAAAAGTGAGCGATAATCACTACTGTCTTCCTTTCTTAAAAGTCGTAAAAATCCGAATTTAAAATAATATATGTCCCTAAAAGAACGGTGGCTCAAAAATGATTTTTAAGTTAGAAACTCAAAAATGAACACAAAAACTCTCAAAAAGGAGTTTTAAGAGTTAAAAATTAAAACAATTATTTCAAATTAAAGGACTCTCAAAAATTAGTATTACGCGTTAAAAGCACAACAATTATCTTCAAGCATTAATCACTCAAAAATAAATTTCAAACGTCAAGCGCTCAAAATTGAGTGTCAAGTATTAGATTAGATTAGGAGTTGGACGTTATTTGTCCTTATCCACCGCGACCTTTTCAGATCTATTGTGGGACCCCGTTTGTTTTAGAGTATGTCGTTTAGCCTGGTCTTTTTTATTAGACTTAGTAGCTTTGACAGTGGCTCCCGCATGTAGTTGCATACAATTGGCTTTTCTTCGCCCAATGTTAGAAACCTCATTCCAGCCATGCCTTCACATTGGCACAGGACGTGGAATGATGTTTCCTCTTCTTCTTCTTCACAGAACCTGCACAAAGTTGCTTCTTCTGCTGGATTTATGACACTCATGTGCCTTTTAAGGCGACAGTGTCCAATTAAGAAGGCCTACTGTTATCCTAACGATTTGACGCTTTTGATCCAGTAGGTCTTTCGTGAACTTGGCCGATGGTTCCTTGATGAACTGTTTGGCCCGTCTGTCTTGGATAGTTGTTTTACCATTATTGAGACTCTTTTTGCATCCGTTGTTTAATGGATGCATTGCACAATTTCTTAGCAACTCCACAGAAGGGTTCGGGGCCTGTCTGCCTTATCTGAGTCTTCTCGGACTAATTCGTCGGCCTTTTCGTTGCCCTGATATCCCTCATGGCCTGGAACCCAGGCTAAGGTCACCTTATTTTGACTACTTAGCTCTGTCAGGTCTTCTAGACAGTCATTCACCAGTCGTGATTTGATTTCTTGTGAGAGAATTGCCTTTAGAGCTGCTTGGCTATCAGAGTATATGGCAATAGTTTTGTATGGCTATTAGCTCAGCCTGGAACACTGTTGCATATTTTCCTAAACTCAGCGAAATCGTTGATTTCGACTTGGGTCCATAGATTCCAGCACCGGCTCCTTCCTTGGTTTTTGAAACGTCTGTGTACTAGACGAGTTCAGCCTGTACGGGAGGGAGGTCCCTGTTTCCGGGATTCTCGGGCTGGTATTTGAATTTGAAAATTTCCTTCAAATTTGTATGTGGTTATGGCTCTATCAGTAGGCATAGCTAGAATATTATCCCTTTTTACTTGCTGATATAACCTTGTGTGGTCGGCGCTATGTAGTTGGCTTATTGGGTTTTGTCCCTGCATTAGCCTGTGAATAGCTAACCTGATTTTTCCTTGTATGAAGATGTGCAGTGGCGTGAGATTTAATAATACCTCCATTGCTGCGGTCGGCGTAGTGCGCATAGCCCCAGTAGCACTTAGACAGGCAAGCGCTGAATGCTAGTGAGTTGGCCTATTGCACTTGCCTGCGCAGTTTTGGTTACCCACGCCACTGCGCCATAGGTTATCATGGGTCTTATTACCCTTGTATATAGCCATATGGTCATTTTTCGGTTTAGACCCGTTTTTCCCACATATTCTTCTACAGCTTACGAGAGCTTTTGTAGCTTTATGTGTGAGTTTTTTGAGATGTTGATTCCACGTCAGCCTTTGGTCAAATATGACTCCGAGGTATTTGGCTTCTGTGACGAATGGGATAACTGTGTTGTTTAGTACTAGTGGTCTTAGTACCCGTTTTTTTGTGAATGGTACAACTGTTGTTTTTTGTGCATTAATGGACAATTGTTCCTTTTTGGACCAGTTGTTTACTATGTTTAGAGCTGTTTGAGATCGCTCCGAAACTGTACCTGCAAATCGCCCCCTGACGATAATTGATAGGCCTTCTGCGTATCCTAGGCACTGGTAGCCTTCTTTAGACAATATTTTAAGTAAGTCGTCCACCAGAACTGACCACAGCATTGGAGATAATATTCCTCCTTGTGGGCAGCCCCGTGTAACTTTTGCATGTATGGTTGCCTTTCCTAGAGTGGATAAAATAATCCTGTTCTCTAGACAGGCAGTGGATCCATTGGCATATTGTTACTGGGACGTTTCTCTCTTCTAGAGCCTTGGTTATTGACCTGGTTGAGGCATTGTTGAAAGCCCCTTCAATATCTTAAGAAAGTGGCTATTGCGATTTCTTTGTCATCTATTGACTTTGAAAGCAGCCTGTTTAGATCATCCAGCGCTAGGTCAGTTGACTTTCCTGGCTGGTATTAAAAAATAAAAAATGAACTTCAAAAAAATCACTAAAAAAAATAATGATTCAAAATTAAGTTAGGAGCTAAACGCTCAATTTTGAGCTTCAAACACTAACCACTCCAAAAAAGTGACCTAAAATCACTACTAGCTACCTTTCTTAAAAGTCATACATAATCTTATTTAAAATAATATACTGGGTGTCCCTAAAAGGTCTGTACAGAACGCTAGAATTACTATTTTTCATATTTATCTTAATAATTGCACGAAATGTGATGCTTGGCGTTTTTTAAAATAAGAAATCAAGATCTGATCACAGTTTCAATGTACATGGTGTCCCAAATGAGTATGTTTTGCTTTTGCAGGGTATCCAGAAAACAAGAGGAGATGGACAAAAGTCAAGATGTCATGACTTTTTTTCTTAAAAATAGATATGTAATACTTCATATCAGGTGAAAGAGAATTACAAATTAAAACTAAAAATGTCAAAATATACAGAGTGGCCCATTAATAAAATCAAATTTGTATTTATATTTTCTTAGCGAGATCCTTTGAAAAACACACCACTGAACTCATCCATAATAAATGCAATCTTTTAAAAGTTCCTAATTATTTCATTTTACTTAATAAAAAGGTTTGGAACCTTGTAGTTCTCGAAGGTTTTCAATAATCGCCCCGTATCTCACAAATGAAGGGAGCTATTGAAGACTTGATCGGACAATCGTTACTTTAACAAACAAAAAAGGTACAGCCGATTGACGAAATCCAGGATGCACTGACAAACAAAGAAACGGTCGGGTGTGTCCTTCTTAGATATAGAAGGAGCGTTTGACAACATGCCACACAAATATCACCACATCCAGATGGATGGCTCAACTGCTATGTACGAGACAAAGGACAGGATACCATATCTAACTGCATAACCAGAGAATGTCCACAAGGACGAGGTCTATCCCCACTAATGTGGAGCCTAAGCGTAAACAAACTTCTATGTAGATTGACAGACCTTGGCATACCCTGTCAAGGTTATGACAGTCATATGTACTAGAGGGAAGTTTGAAAATATCCTGTGATATAGTGTAAAGAGGACTAGAACATACCAAAGGATGGTGCCGAGAGATAGGAGTATAAACCCCACCAAAACAACACTAGTAGTCTTTTCAAGGAAAAAAATCTCAACCTCAAATCCGTCAAATTAAACGGGATAGATATAGAATTGAAAAAAAAGTCAAATATCTAGTTTTAACTCTGGACAACAAACTTCTCTGGAACATACAGGAGAAGGAAGAAGTAAATAATGCCACCAAAGTCCTAATGGTATGTAGAAACATTGCGAGTAAAAGATGGAGATGTAAGACGAACACACTACGATGGATGTACATAGCAATAGTGAGACTACTTACGGGGTTGTAGTATGGAGTAGCAAAACAAGTGTAGTTACTACGAGAGCTAATATTTCAAAAGTACAAAGACTAGCCTGTGTTTACATCACCTGTGCAATGAGAACCTGTGATTTCAAATCACACCCCTCTACATTTAATAATAGAGAATGTGGCAAAAAGGACAAGATATAGAATGATGAGGAACGGATTAATCAGACGAAAATCTATAAGCTTCAGGACCGAAGACACTTGAGTATGCCCCAGGACGAAATGAGAAAAAGTAGTTATGGGAAAAACTTCAAAACCACAGAGCTGAGCTGCAAGAAACAATGGAACCAATAATCCATCAGGCTTGCAACCGAAAGACATGCTATTCAGTGGTATACGAATGGTTTCAAAACCTCTGTATAATAAATTTCTAGTTAAAAATTCGAATTCCTTAGCATCTTTTGAAAACCCTGTATACTAAACAGCGCCCCCTTTACCTTGCTCCGATTTTCCAGATTTCCCCTAGATGACACCACTAATCGTAGTGATAATTAGGGCGACGATTATTAAACTAAATAATCGATTGTCGATTATTTAAAATAATCGATTATTTTCGATTAATTGAAAAGATTCTATTAGTTTCGATTAATCGATTTTTTTATTAATTTATTAATCAATTATTCGAATATCGATTATTTGATTAATCTAGAGATAGATAATTTTTGCTCAATCGATTATTTTCCATTAATCAGTTTTTTCAAATAATATAAAATAGATTTTCGATTAATCGTTAAATTATTTCCGAATAATCGGATTAACGATTATTATATTAACATATCGATATTATTTCATTTGTTCTTA